TAAACATGTGTCAACTATTCAAATTGACTAAGTTCATAGGCTTACCAGTTGATAGATAAGAAGGAACCAATCGACTAAAGGAGAAAAAATATTTCTTTCTTCGTATTTTAGTCAACTATCAGAGTAGTGCAATCATCTACCATGAAGAAACTTAACCATTTAAAAGCTCTAATGGTTACTACTAAATCTAAAAATCATTTTAATAAGTTGGAGAAAATTTGAATCATTTATTAAAAAGGTAAAATCTCTCCATTGGTTAGAAAATGATCACTAAATAGAGATTCTTAACTTGATTCAAAAAACGAAAGCAAGAGTAAGTTTTGAATCAAGCTTGTGAAAAAAAGAAAAACTCGCATATATCTTGTATATAGTTGTTTTTTAGAGAGAACAAGCTAGGGTTAGTCTTTTGGAGGAAATCTCTAAGCTTCATCAATGTTAGACGTGAGCTTTGTATAAGAAGCCTTTGAGCTTATTCTCTCCCATCTATTGAGATCTCCTCCCTAAGTTAAGCATTAATGAAACTCTAGAAATTGTTTAGTTTGAACTTGTAATTATTATATCTACTTATTAAAAGGTCACTCTTGCATTGTAAACCTACCCCTGTGCTTATTAATGGAAGACCTTTGAGCATATAGGACACTATTAAGGTCTTATTGGCATGTACATCTATTAAACCCAACTACAAGGTCTTGCAGGCACTTGAAAGACCTATCAATTTGGATCTTTTTGGCACCCGGTGAAAGTCCCTCTGGGAAAGGTATTGTAGGCACCCATAATTCTTGTTAGTTGTAAAGGCGTGGCTGGTGCCCAAGAAGCCTAGTCGGTTAGTGAAAATCCTCTGTGATGGTTTGAAGTAGAGGATGTTAGAATAGTTGGCCCAACGTCTATAAAAATGTTTGTGCTTCTTGTATAAAGGGGGCATATATGTCTTTTACTCACTTCAGAAATTGTCCACTTATAATTATTCAGAAACTGCCAGGGTGTTGGAATCCAATATGATGAGTTGAATAGTTTTGTCTTAAAGATACTGTTACATGCAAATGTACTTACACGTTTACTAGTGTATATATATTTGAATTTCCACATGATTGTTATGGCACGTTCTGACCCAGCTGATGGCACCGTGACCTACGACCTGAAAGAAAAAACAGTTAGGCCTCCCGATCAGCTTTTAAAACATTGCTGCTACTTACTTATTTGTGGGTAGTTCTCTCTCCATATGCAAAGGCACACACCATAAGGTGTAGCTGCCATTTACTATTATGTTTATTTGCATTTTAACTACTCCTTTATATTTTTACAGTTATTAGATTTACTATTCTTATTGTTTATTAATTGTAGAATCACTAACCTGATAGGTTGTAGTTCTTTAATTGTTTAATTTATTTATCAACCTTTATCCTTTTATTAAGAATCTTATCTCTATTATTGTTCTTAACAGCTAACCCCTTAGCTCCTGCTACTACTTTGTTTACCTGTTTTGTAGTTGCAGTTTTCTTAATTCAATAGCTCATTTGTTTCAAATGGATTGTCTTTAATAACTGTTAAACCCAATTGATTAAACCTTTAATCTTCTACTGAATATTACTTGTAATAACGCTTAGGTTCAGTTTGAAGGAAAAGATTGTGAGCTTGATTGTCAAGAGTTTGTCCATGACAATTAGAATTTTTAGAGCTCTACCCAATTCACCCCTCGCCCCCTCTTAGGTAAAGCCATCAATCCCAACAAGATATTCTCCCATTTGAGGGAGTAGTCGTTCCCTCCCCCTCCCTTGGGAATGATAATCCCATCCTAGACAATTCCTATTCAAATCTGATTTCCATCATATGGAGAAATATACCATTTTGATTCCAGTTCTAAATACATGCTCAACTTTTTATAATTTTCTGTATTTTTTTGCAGTTTATTTATAATGTCATGAATTAAACCAATTGGCCCAAACAGTTGAACCACTTAGCAACTGGCCCACCACATTGACTCCATTTCCCAATCATTTTTCAAAAATATCGCTTAAGACAATTTCCCCCCGGGGGAGACCACTCCCAAGGACATGCTAGTTAGAAATGGCCTTGATAATTTTCGGCTATATATTGGAACCATATATTTCATCAACTATTCATGCTATTTTTGTTAAAATCTGAACTGAAAAATATTCAGTTCGGATATATATAATTTGGTTAGTTCAACTTTTTTTTTATTAAACGAATTTTCAATTCTGAAAACCAATAACTGAAATAGCCAAACCAAAAAACTGAAACGAAAATTTTTTATTTGATTTTTGGGTTTTAACCAAATAATACTTGCCCCTATTTGGGAGGGAAGAAGTGCAGTGACTTCTTGCTTTCTGAAGTAGACCCTACACCGACAGCTTTTTAAGCTATGCTTTGTGAAAAATGGAGAGCCCAAATCGGCTATGAATCAGTTAATCTTTGGGTTGTCCGCTCCAACCTCTTTAGCTTATTCAGAGTGCCTCAAAGCAGCTTAACCAGCTTAGCTGAATGTTAAGCTCCCAGACGGGTATTGTATTTAAAAGCTGTTTCGAATCCACAAAGGGCCTATTTGGGAGGGCTTCAATGTTGACCAAGCCGCTTCAAAGAAGCTACCAAAACTAACTTTACCGGAAAGTCAATTTCTCAGTTTATCATTAGAGGTTTAAGCTGAACCACTAAATGTTATGCTCACAGATGATTTTATTCTATTTGGCAAGGCATCAATCCAAGAGGGCTGAGAAAGTTACAATCAGCTAGCTGTTAATGGATGTTTTATCAAAACAAAGCTCTTAACAAATACTGAAGCTGGTTTAGGGTCAATAGTAAACTAATCTCCAGATTTCTTGAGGTCACATATCACAACCAAACAAGACTTCTATTTGGGTAACCACTTGCAGGTGTAGCAGAGATGGCTTTTCCATAGAAGCCTGCCTCTTTAAGAAACCAACTTGCCAACGCAGCCTTTGTAGGTTCATGCCTCTCTTTAACAGTTTTATGTCTCCACCAAGACTAGTTCCCAATGAAAAGGAGCTTTCCAAACAATACCACTGGGAATGGGGAAATCAGAATTTCTAGATTCCATATATTGATTCTCAAAGGAGCAGCTGAGATCCCATTAGAATTTGTGTGATATCCCTATATTCATGCATATCCTAATTACACCACCATATCCAAGCATTCCCCCAAGTATATATATATCCCCATTCATCTTTTAAATTTGCCTTTAGAAATCTATTTTGCGACACTGATACTTTCTTTAGACGTTGATTTAAGTCTTACAACAGTTTACTTCATAATAGAAATATTAAGATGTCCAATACAAATACAATGGTAAATTGGTAATAAGCAGCAACCTGACTGCAGAAGGCAAGCATGCATGCATGATCCCTCCATGAGATACATGGCCGAGAAATATGACCTTGTTCACGTCGTCGGCTCATGGGCAATGGTTGGTCCACAGCCAAACATGATGGCCTTTTCACAGCATTTTGGCACTAAAATGCTCAGAATTTCTGCATCTGTCATCCCTTTTTCTTTTGGGGAGTGGGGGTTTACATTTATTACTAATGTTTTCAACCCACGGTTGAACTAGCTGGTTAGAACTGTTGCTCTGCCACCAGCCCACATTTCCAAGTTCACTTTACCCCTCAACTGTTTTAATGCATAAAAGCGATAAAGCATGGGCAATAACCTTACAAGTTACAACTTACAACCCGGCTCACCATTTCGCCATTTCTTATTAATAACAGCGTTATTCATCTCCTTCATTCATCCATCCATCTATTTTATCTATCTATCTATCTATCTATCTATATATATATATATATATTCAAATTTTCTGTATTTTTTTACATATTTATCTATTATTCTTATTTTAATATATATTTATAATGTCACAATTTAATGACTGAGACTCCTGAACCACCAATTAACTAACATATCCCTCCCAACCAAGATTCAAAATTTTGCATATTGTATTATAACTTTTATATGTTGAAACTTCATTTTAATAATAAAAATACATAAAACAAGTCCACCCACAAATTTTGAAAATAAAATAAAAAAGCGCAAAATTCAAAATATTAACACTCCTTTCAACCAAGGTTCAAAATTTCAATACGTATCAGACCATATTGGCCAACACATATCGCATCAGGAGCTTCCTGATACGCACGCCCCTAGAGGGGGGTATTTTGGGTCAGACCATGGTTCAGAGGGTAAAACCAACCCCTCTGAACCAGATTGAACAAAAAAAAAAAAACTAAAAAGAAAGGAACAAAAAACCTTGATACAAGCCGATACACCCTATATCAATATTTTGAACCTTGCTTCCAACGTATCGGGATGTATCAATATTTTGAACCTCTCCCAAAAGTCATCACAACATGGTTCTAACACCATCTCACCATAAGACCGGAACTCACCATGCATGAAATGCATGGTTATCGAAACCGGACCGGAAAAACTGGGAACCGGTCAAGTGACCGGTTCTGTTTTCCCCAAAAGACCGAATTTCCCCCCAAAACCGTTGATTTTGATCAACAAACCACTGAACTGGGTGGTTAACCATTCGAACCATTCAAACAGTTTGCAACGTTTTCTTATTTTTTTAAATTTCTTAGTTTTTGTCAGAACGGGTCAAGCACTCAGTTCGAAGTCAGACCATTCAACCCGGTAACCAGACCCCTGACCGGTTCGGTCACCGGGTCAGTTTTAACAGTTTTTTCGTTGGGAGGAGATTCAGACTCCCTGGATTATTTTTAACATTGCTTAGGTTTTTTTTATTTTTTTTTATTTTTGCTTCGTGGAGATACACATCCCCCTCCCTTAACCACCCTCGTAGCCTTTTTCACGCAGAAAAATATATGCTTGCAGTGGGTATTAAACTGGAAGGATTTGAATCTCCCGACAGTCGATACTTGGTGTCAATTGTCCAATACACGGTGGACTGGAAATGAAACCACTCCAAGCATAAGAACAAATATAACACACACACGCAGAGAGAGAGGGAGATGAAACCACTCCAAGGACAGGACATGCTAGTTACAAATGGCCCCCAAAAGGGCTAAGTAGAAATACACATCCGAAACCGAAAGAATATCGCCTTGATAATTTTCCCATTTTGAGGGTGTTAGTGGGGATAAGAAGCTATATATTGGAACCATACAATAAAACAGACTTGACAAAAGGAGCCCTCTTACATACCAGGAAGACGAGTCGGAAGAAAACTGAGGTGAAAGGGGAAGGATATACGTGTATCGTTTGAATGGCAAAGGCTAAGCTATATGTTCTGTTCCCCTTTTCCTGAAATTAGTACAAACTCTGGAGGGAAAGCTCCGAGACTATGGCGTGATGGTCTTCAGTACTCATAAAACACCGTGGCAGGCAGGCTCCACCCCCCAGATTTCTCGCACTGCTCCAGAAGAATTTATCATGAATTTAAAACACAGTAGCAGCTCCAGCAGCACTAGTTATCAACACAAACACACCAATAAGATCAACAGGCCTTTCCTAAGGAGATGGTTTCCAGTCGAATTGGAGATTATTGAAGCTGTTTACTGCTCCAAGCCCACTTAACAGCCGGTTCCCCAAATCCTGTTGCTGATGGTTCATGCTTGGGTCCTGAGGCATTGGTGGCATGCCTATCCTTCCATTCAATGCCATGGAATTATTGTTCATGGCAGCTCTCATTCCACCACCCATGGTGTTTTGACCAATTCCAACACCCATGCTACCAAAGCCCATGCTACCCATGCTTGAGCTGCTAGCAATTCCATTTCCTACTAAGCAATTCCCACCACTGAGAGCTACATTGTTGCTTGTCTGTGTGATACCATTAATGTTTTTCATGTCATTCCCCAAAGAACCAACACCAACCATGCTACCACCTCCATTTAGTTGGGAAGTCATCATCATTTCTTGTATGATCTGCTGGACAGAGCTTTGGGTATCATTTGGATCGGGCTCATTGGACTGAGTCGGTTGTTGCATGGAAATAGTGGCTGGCGAGTTTGCAGAACTCATGTGGTTGGTGGTGGTTGTTGCTGGTAAGGCAGTATGAGAAGTTTGTGGCCCATTGTTAGAGGTTGAGGGTGTTGACGATGGAAATGGGGAAGACGGGTTGGGCTGAGCCACTGGTAGTGAACTTGAGGAGCCAGCAGATGGGATTTGAACTGGATTCCCACCATATGGACTGTTGGCATTGTTCATTGGATTTTCCTGCCTAGAATTCATGGGGTTCTGGTGGAGAAGTCCAGCAATGGTATTTGCAGTAGTGGTTGTCGATGCTGTGTTGAGGGAGTTATTTACACTGACACCACCATTGCTAGCAGCAAGCTGCATGGCAGCCTGAACGGAACTCTGGTCATTGATAGAGATCTGTGCCATGGTTTGCTGCTGCTGCTGCTGTTGTTGTTGCTGCTGCTGCTCAGACTGTTGACCTTGATTCTGGAGTGCAGATGAAGGATTGGTCCTCCTAGGGAAGTTGATGAGGCTCTCTGGATAAAGAAGTAATTAATTATTCTCCCTAGTACTGTACATCAAAAGTACCTAAATGCTGCTAACAGATGTCAATTCCGTCACTGCAACAGAAAAAATAATCAAGACAGGGATGAGAGGGACACCAAGGACCTTATGTTGCCCTTCTATGTTTGACAGTTCAGTCAAACAATAAAAAGCCCATTATTCTGTGTATTGTTGGCAATATTCTAAACTGATAAGAAAAAACATGGATTTTAGGTGTCTCTGCATGTGAGCAGCCACTAGGGATCTAGAAACATAACTACCAGAGTATGGATGCATATACTTCTCTTAGCATCAACAGACAACAGTTTTGAGTGAAGTAATGTCTTCTAGGTAGTGAAAAGACAGCCTTAATGTCGACTCTAGCATCAATACAAGCAAGTAATAACTGGAGGCTAGAGCGTAGAAGTTCCCTCTCTATCATGCTCAATAAGCAGTGCAAACATCAGATCTATTGCATATAAGACCATATATTTCTCCAAAAAAGCAGTAAAATTCATATTTAGCAAACAAAACTTAAAAATGAAATCTACATTTTTTTCTTATGTTGTCATCACTGCAGCACTATTTTTTGACCTTCCAATTTGATGAATGGAATCACCTCAAGAAAATCATAGTACAGTAGAACTTGCTTCACTTTCAAAAAGATGAAAAGAAACAAGAAAAAGAGGGGAGAAAACTAGCGAACTTACCCATAGGTCCAGTCCCTGTTTCACGGCTATAATCAATCAAATCTTTCATGCTATTAACAACCTCGGAGATCTGCAATTTATGCACAAAAAACAGTAAGTGGAATTTGAAAATTATTCATACTTTTAAAAGATGAAATTAGTTACAATTATTCTTAGATATCCTTTTTTTTCCCTTCTTTCTGAATACAGGTGTATTTTAGAAAGGAAAAATAATATTGGGTATAGTAGACTTCATAGATATAATTTTTTATAAAGAAAAATAACCAAAAAGGTTGTATTTTAAGGGAAACTTTTCTACCAGATTCCATTTTTATTATCCAATAATAACAATTAAAAAATTGTTCTACCAGATTCCATTTTTATTCAATTTTTCTACCAGATTCCATTCCTTTGGTGCTATATCTAATAAATATCCTTGATGGTATTTTCTTGGATCCTCTTAAATCTGATAACCGAATTTGGACTCTCTCTCCCCTTTAGGATCCTTCTCATGTGCTTCATTTTTTAAGGCTCTAGCTTATCCCTTGCCTCCTTTACAACTTTTTTCTAGTGAAAGAGATTTGGGCAAAACCAATCCCACCAAAAGTAGGAACTTTTAATCGAGAGGTCCAACATGAGAAAATTAACACCTGTGACTTGCTACAGAAGCGGAGATCTCACTCCTGCTTATCAATCTTACTTTCACTTACTAATCTGCTGTCCATTTGCTACTGGTCTTTGGGATTGGTTTCTTGCTCTGTTTAGTGTTGCAGGCGAAATCCCCTTGTCTCAATTTCTAGCTTTCTTGCTTTCAGTTATTAATCTCCTGTCCACTAACTAACCTAAGAGCTGTTCTCGGACTTAATGGATGATTTCTATAGGAAATGGCAGGAAGTAGCCAATACATCATCATTAATATTCAAGACTAGCAAGTGTTTCACACCACCAGTCGAGGGGTACATAAAACTTAACTTTGATGGAAGTAATAGGGGGAACCCAAGCCCAAAGTGTAGGAGGCATTTTCAGAAATGAGATCGGGCATGTTGTGGAACTTTTTTCAAGTCCGATTGGCATTGGGAATTCCTTGAGGGCTGAAGTAATGGAAGTTGTGGAAGGGGTAGTTAGAGGAGTAAGATGTGCACAAGTTGATCGTAGAAGGTGATTCACAACTGGTGGTCAAGTGGCTACAAAATAAAGGAAATGATTTATGGATGTACAAAAACAAATTAAAGAAGATTAAAAGGATAACCAAGGTTATGGATGTTAGAACCCAATGGGTGCAAAGGACGACCAACAGGCTAACAACATGACTGATTCTTTTGCAAAATAAGGGGTTGGGAGAGATCAAATGTTTTGGGCTCAATTGTAAAGCATTTGGTATCAGATAAGTTGTTTTTATCTCCAATTGTACTTGTACTCTTTTTAATTCATTTCTAATTAATGGAAGTTATAGTTATTGATTAAAAGGATAACCAAGGTTATGGATGTTAGAACCCAACGGGTGTGCAAAGGACGACCAACAGGCTAACAACACGACTGATTCTTTTGCAAAATAAGGGGTTGGGAGAGATCAAATGATCTGGGCTCAATTGTAAAGCATTTGGTATCAGAGATAAGTTGTTTTTATCTCCAATTGTACTTGTACTCTTTTTAATTCATTTCTAATTAATGGAAGTTATAGTTATTGATTAAAAGAGCCCTCAAAGGGTCTAGTGGAAACATATTTTAATTGAGGTCATTTTGACAAAAGGATAAATGAAATAGGCTGGAAATCTTGAGTAATCCAGAAAGAATGAAACCTAATTTTAAAGAAACTTTTAAGTATACAGCCTCCAAGCAAGTTTTTCCAAAAAAATAAATCCCACAACAAAAGTTATTCCCCTCACAGTTTGCGGTGTTCCACAAACATTTTCATTAAGCAATTGAAGACATAGAACACTCACACCAGATTCAAGTCCTGTTTCCCAATAGATTGGTTCCACATGCCAAATTGGAAATAATGGATTTTCACAACAGTAGAGTAATACCTGAAGGCATCGTACATATCTCTTTGTATATCCTAAATCATTTACTAAAGGCACCTCCAAAGCTTTTGCCAATTGACGAGCTGATGCAACAAACCTGAAGCAGAATCAGAAATATTAACAATAGATGAAAGTCAGAATATCAATAGAAATGGAACTGAGAACAAAAATCATCAACCATTGAAAATGGCCAAATGAAATAATCATATACCTTAAAAGATACAAAATAAATAATCCAAACAGAAACCAGGCAATAGGGACTATAAAACAAAAGTACAATAATGACAATACAGAAACTAATTAAAAGCATATTTCTAATATAAGCGTAAGAAAAAGAAACACAATTTAAATTTGAAAGGTTAGGCCATTATATTCTGCAAACTTCGTTTTTACAACTTTCTAGAACTTGCAAACCAAGATCTTAAGCCTCAACTCTAGCAACAACAGAAGGAATTTGTATATAAAAGCTAAAATTAATTAACAGAAGAAATTTATGTATACGAGGTAAAGCCAATAAACATTCATTTGAAACAAAAAAGAAGAGATAAAGTTCATTAAAATTTTAAAATAATGGAAACGAAATGAAACCTCAGAATCTCATCAAAGTTCAAAACTTCGGTTCATGAAAACATTTTCAGAAACTGCTTAAGCCAAATGCTTTCTCATGGCCCTAACCATCATCTCAGTGAATAGACAACACAAATTTCTAGTGATTAATTCATTAGGAAAAAGTTATTCCATGGTTAGCAAACTCAAATAGAAAATGCAAATTGACATTTTAAAGAAAATGTCTCAAATTGCATATTTTTCAAAAATATGGAAAAAGACTGTTGAGGGCCCGGGAATAGGATCTCGTCACGGGTCGGTCCACGGGGAAAACCTCCTATTTTCCCTTGTTCCTTCCTGCTCATGATGAACCTATCTTGGCACCTTCGGTGATTTGTCCAAGAGATCACCAACTCTCCTAACTCACTCTTGACTGAATAATTTGATATCTCATTCAATAATGGGGTCTC